CGGCTTAAGTTAGTGGATTAAAACGGGAAACAGCCTAAATTAGTGGACTAAAATTGCAATTTTCTCTTTTAAAAATCCTATACATGCTAGGAGAATCAATATTGAACAATTATTTAAAAATATATTAGTAACTGATTTTTGATATAACTTGAAAAAAATAAAAAAAACAAATAAATATTTCAAATTAATGGAAATAAAAATGAAAACATCAAATGACGTTTAAATTTTGTATTTACCATAATTAGAAAATAAAAAAAAAAATAGATTTTTACTACTATATGTTTTGTAAATAGGTAACCTTTGCTATATGCTAATTGCTAATAGATATTTATTTTTGACTTTACAAGACACTCTTTTAAGTTTTAACACTACAATTAGTGGAATAAAACAAACGAGAGAAAAAAGTGTTCAGATACACTGATCTAGGGAAAAGCTTACGAGTGGGAAAAGATACAATACGAGGAGATACTCTCTCCGGGATACTCTCCCAAAAGAAAACACGATATCTTATTTCATTCAATATTCAACTCCCGTACATTCTGGCCAGACTGCTAATAAATAGAGTTCAATATCTAGGAGTCCCTAACTTGTCAAACAAGTAAATAAAATATCTTCCTAACCAACTAATCAAGATAATTAAGGAATAATAATAATAATAATAATAATAATAATAATAATAATAAACATATATATATATTCTTCATCATTCTCCCCCGGTTGAGCAGGATTCGGCCTCGAATCCGACTCGTTCATGTTGGAGTCGTCCCCAAGAATACCACCGACATTTCCCTCGATCGAACACGAATGTTGAACGTCTTCCAACAACCACGAACGTAAGCAGAAACTCGGTCAAGGACGTAACTGACACGAAGGGACATGTACACGTCACATGTCGCAAAGCCGAATTAACACAAAATATACCACATCGATTTTTGCGCTTAAGTCCAAAACAACGGCCAAGCATCCCGTTGTTGGGAGATTTCGCGATAGACAATCAAAAAATGGTCCACCAGTCATTGAGTATCGGCGTCGGCTCCGAAAAAATATCTTTGGTCAAAATACTCAAAAAATCGGGTGTGGATGACTGCTTCCCATTCAAAGATTCAACCGTTACGACGTCCCACGCGGGACTCATATTACTGCACAAATATTTTCTCGGCATCGGAGGCGCCTCATCAAAAATGGGAGGACTGTCGTACATTGGCCCGTCAACGTGATCCTCGTCGAAGGTAGGAATTTCAGCACAAAACGGGCCCACCTCTTGACCAAATTCGCTTCCAAAATCATTCTGTACTAACCCAAATTTCGTAGCTAAGCCACAGGTCCAAAAAGTTGGAGTAAATCTATGCCCACCCTGAACCAAATAAAAGGAAATGGGCCGACCCCGCGCAAGCCCAAAAGTGTGAAGAAATTCTTGATTTCTCGGTCTGCGTCTCCTCCCATCACCCAAATCGTGATTCTCTCCAACTCTCGAAATCTGTCGCTGCACCTCGACCAATCCTCTGTTAAATCTGAAAAATTGAGCTCCTCTGTATCCCGCCTCGGTCTCGCTGCCGTGCCACCCATCTCGGCCGCCGTCACCGGCGAAATCTGTAGCAGCGCGCCGGTGAACGCGAAAATCAGACCCGCCAAAACCCACCGCTGTCCAGGGCTGGCTCCGTCGAGCTTCGCGGCCCCCGCTGTCGGCAAAATCGGTCACGTGATGTCGCCAATTGTGGTCGCCGGCGGTGGAAAAATCCTCAGCGGCGCGTCGACCGTGAAATTCCCATGCCGCTGCTAGACCTCCATCGGGCCTCTGCTTCTCGCCACCGGAAATCGCCTAGGGTTTGTTCCTGCGGCCAGGTGGCGCGACCATGGTAGTCGTCGGCATCCTCAGCGACGCGATGAACATCGTTCCGACCCCAGCCCGCCTCAACATGCCGGAATTTGCTCACAGGTAAGTGCAACTTGTCCAAAACAGGCGCCTCCATTCGGTGTCGGTATGTGCCGCCGTCGCCGGCATCAGCGCACCCATCGTCCCAGCGGCGGCGCGGCCGATTGAACCCCTTGAAGCCTGAAGCATGTAGCCGAAAATTGTCATCTAGGGCTGAGGGATTAGGTGAAAATTTGTATTCAAAACCCTCCTCAGGCCGCTGTCGTCTGTGAAATCAGACCGCTCCTAGGGTTTCCCCGTCGTCCCGCTCGCCACCATGTCCGAAACCACCTCCAGCCCACAGCCGCTCGCGAATTTGGGACTGACCCAGAGTGTCGGCTCCTTGCCATGGTGGTCGCTCTGTAAATGGGTTAGTCGATCCGGTAGAGTCGCCAACGTCGTTGCCGTTAAGAGGTGGCTGGGATCGCTGTCGGGGCGCCCCGACATGGTTGCTTCCCCCACGACAGCCTCTGTATCCCCCGCGATAGTCACGGCCTCCATCACGGTCCGTCTGCCATTCCGTAACAACCACGTTGTTCGGCGTCAAACACACATCCTCGATCCCCGTCGAAAGATCGACAAACAAATTCGTGAAACGCACGTCCAACTCTTGAAATCGGTAGTCAATCTGTTGAAACCGATCGTAGAAGGTGGTGTCACGTTGTTTGTTTGCAGCATCTTCTCGTTCCGGCGGCATCGCGATCGTACTGACTGCTGATACCAACTGATGTGGGGAAAGCGTACGAGTGGGAAAAGATAAAAGGATACAAGAAGATACTCTCTCCAGAACACGGGATACTCTCCCAAAAGAAAACACGATATCTTATTTCATTCAATATTCAACTCATCCAAGTTCGAGAGAGTATCTCGTTTTATCCTTCCCATTCGTACGCTTTCCCTACATCATACACCATAGCTAACAAGCATATTAATTAATATATTTTTATCCATTCTTCTCTTCAATCTTGCTACAACAATATGGAATATGGCAGGTTCAGAAAACTCGAACCGGCGGGACCAATAGGCGAGGCCCGAACCCCCGGCCCACCTCCCAGGCCCAGAAAATCCAAACTCAAGATCCTGCTCATTTCCACCGTCGCGTTCCTAATGGCGGCGGCAGTCTCAACCGCGATTGGGGCGGCTGTGCTCCGCGGAGGGCGGCGGCTTCACGGTGGCCGTCCCTCGCAAGCCATGTCGCGGGCGTGCGGGCGGACACGGTTCCCGGCCCTGTGCGTGGAGTCGCTGCTCCATTTTCCGGGAGCGTCGACCGCCTCCGAGGGAGAGCTTCTCCATATATCCATCAACATGACGCTTCAGAAATTGGGCCGCTCGCTGTATTCGGCCACTGGGAGCAACAATCTCGATATGGATTCTCATGCCAGGTTTTTTTTTTTTTTTAATTTGTTAAAATGACTGCTAAAATGGGACATTTTGGGTATTGTTTTGGCTTTATCTAAAATCGGCTTCCTATTATGTGTGGATGTTATAAGTTGTATAGTTTTTATTTATTTATTTATTTTGACGAGACGGACACGAAAAAAAATATATCAATTGGATTGGAGTAATGTATGCATCTTATTTTCACATGTTGACCCTTTATGAAATATCTGTATAATTGAATAAAGCATACTATAAATATTGGAAATGCTTAAGTAACCATTCCGTCGAGATTTGTAACCGTTAGATCATCATGTAGTCGTCGGAGGTAGTAGATCTAACAGTTATAAACTCAGACGAAATGAGTTTCGTAACGGAACCATAGCATTATATTTTCTTGATGTGCTAATAATATCTCACTATTTGGTCATGATTCAATGGGAATTTGTGACATTTATTAAAAAATATTATGATGCATAAATATATTTATTATATCCTCATAAAATAAAATAAACGAATCATAAAAAAAATTTAAGAACCAAGCCAATCTGTTTTATTTTATTCTTGATTTCAAAATTAGATTTAAGATTTTTACTGCCAACCTCAGGTCGGCGTATGAAGACTGCCTTGAGCTCTTGGACGACTCGGTGGACCTCCTGACCCGCTCCCTCAGCTCAGTCTCAACCGGAGGCGAACCGTCCGGTTCGACTCAGGACGTGCTGACTTGGCTCAGCGCCGCATTGACCAACCAGGACACCTGCACCGACGGCCTCGACGAGATCCAAAACGGCGTCGTCAAGTCCCAAATGTCCGACTGGCTCAAGGATCTCTCGGAGCTCGTCAGCAACTCCCTCTCCATATACTCTGCCGGAGAAGGTGGAGCGGCGGACGGTGATTTCTCCGGCGTGCCGGTCCAGAACCGCCGGCTGATGAGCGAGGAGAAGGCGGGGCTGGATTTTCCTATCTGGCTATCCCGGCGAGATCGGGTGCTCCTGGATTTGCCGCCGGCGGCAATTAGTGCGGATATAGTCGTATCGAAGGACGGAGGAAATGGCACGGTAAAGACGATATCGGAGGCAATTAAAAAGGCGCCGAAGCACAGCGAGCGGAGATTTGTCGTCCATGTGAGGGCAGGAAGGTAATTTCACTCTAGTTTGGCGAAAATGACCGCGAAAATTGTTGTTGTTTGTTTTTGGTGGGTTGTTGTTATTGGGCTTTTCGTAATTGCCTTTTCATTAATATAGACTTTATCCAAGAGCGCTTGGAAGAGATGGCTTGGGTTTCTTCCAGCTTAACCAGTGGTCTCGTGTTCGAGTCCTGGGAATGCAGTAGTGTTAAAACTCTTGAGGGAGAGCTTTGCCACCCTTGTGGTCCTACCCGGCTCGATTCCGGATTAGTCGGTTTCTCTGTGGATCCGGAAACCGGAAGGTCCCTGTACCAAAAAAAAAATTAATATGGACTTTAATGTCCATGTCATTATGTTTTCGTTTTTATTTTTTTTTTATTTAAAGTTAAGTTTCTAGAGACAATCTCACCAAAAAAATAAAATAAATATAAATTGTAGTTCACTTCTAATAATTTTTCTAATTAAAAATAAATATGTCTATATATTGAAAATGGTACGACTGTTTAACGATTAGGCATCTCTATAGTATATCTATAGTATATCTAATTAAAAATAAATATGTCTATAGTAGTTGGTGATTGTGATTTTGATCGCAACGTTGATTTCATTTTGATTGTGATTTTATCATTGAAATTTACAATTTGCAACAATGTTGTTGTCGTATTACTATTGTGATTTTGACATATGTTTTAGTGTTCTAGACTGAATTTCTCTAAAAGTTCTATTATTATTATATGATATGGTAGGGTCCACCAGATTCAAAAAGTCTATGTTTTATTATCTTACAGTCCTCATGACTTTGACAGAAGAAGACAAGCCTAAATTAATAGAGCTTGAAAAAATATATTATTATTATTTCTATTATTTACGGAATTTTTATCTTTATAAGATAAGTAGAATTTCACATTTTTACATTTGTGTGAAGGAAAAAGAGAAAAAGAAAGGAACTGCTGCTGTAAACGAACCGAATCGAATTAACTTGCCTAATTTTTTGTTCGAACTCGGCTCGATTAACAAACGAACGAGTTCTTGTCGAACACGAATGAGCTTTTGTTCGCGAACGTTTAGTTCGTTTACAGCTTTATCTGTACCCTTTTTAACGTATAAAAGTGTATTTGTGTTAGATAGGTACGAGGAGAATGAGCTGAAGGTGGGAAGGAAAAAGACCAATATAATGTTGAATGGGGATGGGAAGGGCAAAAGACCAATATAATGTTGAATGGGTATTTATCTTCCTCACCCCCTGCTATCGGGTCTGGTCCGTCTTCCCCACAGGACCAGACGCAGAGATCCGAGAGCTCTGAGGGTTTGGAGCACCTTCAGCTCATCCTCCTACCCCAGGAGTTTCCTCTATACGAGAGGAATCTTTCCAGGAGATCCCAGAGCACCGACGACCACAGACCAGATCGATGACGGCGCAGCTCTCTGCTAGCCGAGTTCTGACCCTACCAGACATACAGACAAAGCCTAACCACGGACAACTCCAATTAGGCGGCCCCACTGATGTTTGATATGTCAGTCACATCGCTTACATGGAATGCCCGTAATCTGGCTAATAGGACCACTCTTGCTCATGTTAGATCTCTCATTCGTGAGCATAACCTTGAATTTGCGGCTTTCTTAGAGCCTATGACTCGTGTCCCTTCTTTTGACGTTTATTCGCGGCGCCTTGGCTTTCATGCCGGGATGGGAAGCACCACTAACAAGATTTGGTTTTTCCATTCGCGTGACTTTACTTGTCAGATCCTTCGAGATACTGAACAAGTCTTGCACATGAAGCTTACCGCCGCCCATTTACCCGAGCTGATCTTCCACACCTTGGTTTACACCAGTTGTGCGAGGGTTGGTCGCTATGACCTGTGGGATACCATGCGTGAGATTGCTGAGAGTATGGAGGGATTACCGTGGATGATTAGCGGTGATCTCAACATATTCTTGCATCGTGATGAACGCATTGGTGGTGTATCGGACCGCTCTGCGGAGATCTTAGATTTCTCGCAGGTTGTATCAGATTGTGAGCTCATCGACGCTGGTTACGAAGGGGCTCCCTTTACGTGGGAGAGGGCCGGAGTCAAGGAAAGGCTCGACCACGCTCTCTACTCAGAGGCGTGGACGAGGGTGTTTACGACCACGGTTGTCACGCACCTCCCTCGAATTGGATCTGACCATGCCCCCCTTCTGATCCGTTGTCGGTTCTCTATTTCTCCTCGGCGAGCGTCCTTTCGCTTCCAGAACATGTGAGTCCGCCACCATTCTTACTACGATACTGTTAGAGCCTCCTGGCAGCAGGCTACGCACCTCTATGGGATGCGCAACCTGGAGGAGAAGCTCAAGAGACTCCGCCGCGTTTTGAAGCAGTGGAACTGGACGATTTTTGGTGACATTTCTCAGCGCCTTACTGCAGCTCAGACTGTGTATGAGGAGGCGGATCGGACCTATGATTTGGACTCTTCGCCAGAGAATAGGTCTGAGATGCGCCGCTGCCAGGCTGAGTACCAGTTGCGCCTCCTCATGGAGGAAGATTTCTGGAAGCAGAAGGCTGCTGTGCGCTGGGTGGCTGAGGGGGAGCGTAATACCAAGTTCTTCCAGGGATTCGTGAGGCAGAAGCGAGTCAAGTCGTATATCCATAGTGTTGAGGATAACGGGTCATCCGTGACCCAGGAGTCCCAGATTCGGGAGTCGGCTAGGGCTTACTTCCACTCTCTTTTTTCCTCCGAGCAGGATTTGCTTACGCACCCCGACCCGGCCTTATTTCCGACCATCCCGTAGTCAGTCGACCTTGTTGACCTCTGTGACCTCCCGAGTAAGGAGGAAGTCAGGGAGGCTGTGTTTGGGATTGATCCCAACAGCGTCTCCGGACCGGATGGTTTTTCGGCCCTCTTCTTCCAGTCTTGTTGGGAGATTGTGGGCACTAACGTAGAGGAAGCTGTGAGGGATTTCTTCTCTGGCCACCAGATGCCAGAATCCTTCACGGCAACCTCCATCATTTTGATCCCGAAGAGATCGGGACCTAGTTCTTGGTCTGACTATAGACCTATCAGTTTATGCAACGCGACTAACAAAGTCATTTCTAGAATCCTCAACGGTCGCCTCGCCCCCCTCCTCCCCCACCTTGTCTCTCCAAACCAGAGTGGATTCATCAAGGGTCGAGTCATTAGTGATAATATCCTTCTGGCTCAGGAGATGATACATGACATCTCTCATGCGAATCGAACACGAACCCCGAACCTCGTGCTGAAGCTAGACATGGCCAAAGCATATGATAGGGTTGAGTGGTCGTTTCTCAAAGAGGTACTGGCTCGGATGGGATTCCCCAACCGTTTTAGCTTTGTGGAGGCGTGTGTGGAGCACTGCACATTCTCCGTTTTGATTAATGGTAGCCCCTCGACCTTTTTTCCTTCTTCCCGCGGCCTTCGCCAAGGGGACCCTTTATCCCCCTCCCTTTTTGTTCTGGTGGCTGACTATCTCTCTCGCTGCCTTGATGGCTTCATTCGCGATTTCCCGAGGATGACCTACAGCACGCGTGGCTGTGGGCCTCCTATTTTTTCACCTTTCTTATGCGGATGACATTATCATTTTCACTCGTGCGAATGATAATGGGCTAGTAGCTCTCATGAGTCTTTTGGACCACTACAGTGAGACATCTGGCCAGCTACTCAGTGTTAGTAAGAGTACCTTTATCATGGACCACCACGTTACTGACCATTGGGCTCACCAGATCCACGAGCGCACTGGATTTGCTTGTGGAGATTTACCTATCCCTTACCTTGGGGTCCCCTTGTACAAAGGCCATCTCTCCCATGAGCTTTTCATTGACGTCCGTCAGAGGATGATTGACTGGATTTCTGGCTGGTCTCATAGACACCTATCTTGCAAAGGCCGATTTGCTCTGATCAAGAGCACTCTTTGTACCCTCCCTCTTCACCTTCTCGCGGTGCTCGACCCCCACCAGTCTACGATCCATGAGTTAGACCAGATCTTAGCCTGCTATTTTTGGAGCTATGGCGAGGGCTCGCGAGGCCGGCGGTAGACCCACTGGGTGAAGTGGGACTCCATCTGTCGTCCCCACTCTGAGGGTGGGCTCGGGATTCGGCGTTTCTCTGATATGGTTACTGCGTTTTCCTACAGGATGTGGTGGCGCCTCAAGGAGGGCAAGTCCCTTTGGGCCCAATACCTCCTGAGGAAATATTGCCCTGGTGGTGCGGCCCATCCTTGCAGGGTGACTGCCACTGCTCGAGATAGTCGACAGTGGAGACGGCTCACCACTGTTGGCAGGCGTGCTCAGGAGCACATTTTTTGGACCTTGGGCTCTGGGGAGGTTAGCTTCTGGGATAAGTGGTGGTTTGGCGAGGCCCCTTTCTTGAGTACTAGGCCTGTCACTCACCTGCCTTTCATCCAGTGAAGGACCTTTGGACGGGTGGTTTTTGGGATAGTGATAAGATGGAGGTTATTCTTGGTGAGGGTGCGGGCTTTAGTAGTCTAGAGATTGACCAGATCCGACAAGTTCCCATTCTGGAGGGAGGTTTGGATGGCATGAGGTGGAGACTTACATCTTCGGGTGCATTCTCTACGTCATCAGCCTGGGGAGATGTGAGGCTGGGCAACCGGCCAAACCGCCTCTTTGGGGCCATATGGACCGACCTTCTCACCCCTACCATTTCTGTCTTTTCTTGGCGCCTCCTATTACGGCGCATCCCCATTGACACTGTGATGCAGGCGAGAGGGTTCTCCTTCCCCTCCCGCTGCTATTGTTGAGCTGAGATTGGTACCTTTGAGAGCGAGACTTTCACCCACCTTTTCCTTGAGAGTGAGACTGTGAGGAGAGTGTGGGAGCACTATGCCAGATATACTCATATACCCCTACCCACTACAGACAGTTTTTTTGAGCTTTTGAGTTTTTTCTCTCACCGCACACACAGTAGACACGTGGGCTTCCTTATTCTTTGTCTGATCCTATAGGCCACCTGGACAGAAAGGAATAATGCGAAGCATAGGGATATTATATTTTCTTGTGCT